ATGAGGGGGGGGGGGGTACTCATAGTCGTGCATGCAGTTGTTAGACCATGGACCTCGCATCCCTACAAAGCCGGGACGGAGCACGGGTTCTCACCGGACCAGGCTCGTGTAGTACGGGGGGGGGCGGCGATACGGCTCGAGACTTGATCCTTACTGATGTGGTCTCTCACCCCCGGAGCCATGGTAGACGTTGGGGACGAATGATGTAGAATAACGCGCATGCCCAACAATAAATAGTGTTCTTGACACATCCCTTCGACGAACGGGGTGTTGTCTGGAATGGGTAGTAGACTTTACTTCGATGTTCTGTGTCTTCTTGGTGACAAAGGCTAAAGCTTACCTCAGCGTCTGTTCCGGGGATGACTCGAACCCTCCGCTTCACTCTCCTGACGGGTGCATGGCATGCATGGGGGAAGGGGGAACGGGGGGAGTTCTTGTGTCTTTGTTGCTTTCGCCAGATGACGATGGACCGCGCATGCATGTCTATCTACGATGAGGACGTCGTTCGATCGACTGCCATTATGTTCATTTGTGGGTATGTTGGACAGAAGCCCCTGGAACACCAAGAACAAACTACGACACCAGCATACACACGCCCACGACACATAGGAGTAAGTTGAACATTTTGGAACATTGAAAGGGATGGGTGAGTATGGACTTTCTGTGTCGCGCGAAGCTGGGGGGGCGGGGGGCGGGTGCACTCGTGTAAACACATGCCGTAGTCGTTAGACCACTGATCTCGCATCTCTACAATGCCGGGACGGAGCGATATTTCTGTATTTGGCCGGCCCAGGCTACGAAGGGCGCTATTCTGAGTTTGCAGTTTGCCTGCTTTGGCCCATCATGTGATGGCTGAATAGTGGTCATACACTCAATGCGAGACGAAATACTGCAAAACAAAGAGCGCCTGTCTGTGCGACACACGAGCAGGGTGATGAGCAAACGCTTCTGCCATTCAGTACGGACGGGACTCGGACAGCAAACAAAGTCGGGCGAACCATCGTGTGTCCAACCCCTTCACAGACAGGGATTGCACATCTCCAAAGCAGTAGCCTTCTTTCGAGAAGCGCAAAGGAGACTAATCGACAAGGCAGAATAGAGCTGGGTGGACCAAGCAGACGAGGCTTCTACACAACCTGCAGTGTTCGTTTCCACCACAGGCGACCATCCGCAGCTTCTAGAACTATCGTACAGTAGGACTTAATTAATCCTCGAGGAAAAAAAGCACAACTCACTCATGCAGGAACGGGTTAATGATGCCCCATACCACACGGAAGAACGTCGGCGGGTAGCAGATGTTAATGCTGCCGATTCGAACGGGAAGAGCCCCCTGCAGGCTCTGCATGACCATCTTGACGAACGTCGGGTCCGCCTGGCGTCGTCAGCGACAGACGGGGGGATAAGGATTTTTGTCGAGAAAAAACAGGTGGTCAGCGCGCGTTCACCAACATGACGGAAACATAAATGCAGCGTTGTCGTTGTCCCTCCTGCTGCCGCTGCTTGTTGTTGTTGCTGCTGCTTTCGGCGACCCTGTCGACGTCGAGACGTATGCAGCTGCCGGGCTTGAGGGGTCGTTCTTGGGACAAGGAGAACGCAAAAGCACAGCTAGGCTGCTCTGTATAGCCCAAGATTGACGTGGCAAAGACAGGGTTTTCGAATGTGACGACAACGACAGCAGCAACAGCCGAACGAGACAAGCTATATATAATAGTGCGAAGTTGGCTCCAGCACCCGAGCCGTCAGCGTTGCTGCGACTTTTCCCCGCGCAACAACAGCATTGACCTTTGTTTCCCTCCCCGAAATTCTGTGCGTTCTCGTAGTTGATCGGAAACAACACGGCAATGTCCTCTCTTCAAATAGGTTGCGGCAGGAGAGAAACAGATTTGCGGCACGCAGGTTTCTGGTTGGTAAAATAGCAATCAAAATATGAAGACGACGCGGTTTGACCGAAAATTCTGGATTCTGGCGGACGGACATCATCCACGGTCTTTTGGGCGGAAGGACCTTGACGCGGTTTGGGGTGATTTTGATTTGCCTGTCGACCAGTCATCACCGTTTGGATTACCACACGAGTGGGTGCACGACTCCCTCCCGTTCGCGGCAGATGTCCCAAGACTCTGCCATTTTCCCAGCATAAATGGGCGAAGGTAACGTGGCTAACGCCCCGCCCCCGGGAGGTACACCCCATCTTGTGGAGGCTGACGAGCGCATGGTAATCTCGCAGACGAAAACGCGCGACACAAGAGTGCGCGGATATGCTAATTACCTCACCTGGCTACGTTTGACCGCCTTCTGGTAACCCACGAAGCAGAATCCTCGTCTCTGGGTTTCCACGTCCTCCAGCGCCGCCAGCAGCACGTACCACACCGACAGGAGCCTTAGCCTTCTCTCCAACGTCTTGTCCATGTTGCTGGAAACAATCATCACCACCTGTGGGAAGGCCGGTGGACGCACACGCTCGCGTGAGCGGCATCTCGTACCGGAGGCGCGGAAAGCCGTTGAGGTAGTTTTTCTACTGTTGTTGTGGATGTTCAGGTCTTGTTGTTGCCGTTGCTGGTGTAATTTGTTGCTCGTGCTGGGCGGGGTTGCGAGGTCGACGGTCCTCGTTGTGTTACTGCTCCCGCTGGAGTGGGTGGTGGTGGGAATGACACATTTCGTCAACGACGGTACACGTCTCTGCCTCTGTCTCTGTCTGTCTCTCTCTCTGTCTCTGTCTCTGTCTCTCTCGCTTTCGATACCCGCAAGTCTAGATTTGGTAGAGAGCGGAATCGTGTTCGTTAGGCCGAGACCGCTATCGTTCAATAACACGCACCAAAGAATGTCCAGGTAGGCCGGACAAACTGCTAGACTCATCACCGCTCGGTGTCTGCTGGTCTAACGTACCGGAACCCTACAACCGACCTGGAAACTTATCAGAAACAAGACCGAAAAAAGTTCATCACTACAGACTGACAACAATCCATCGTGACCATCAGACGCCAAGGAGTGGCCGCAATACTTGTTACAGCCGCACAGAGGCATTAAAAGACTGAGTGCCGCAAATGTTGCCGATTCCAAAACAGACAACGTTACTAGCAAGAAACCCTCGCCTGTCTCCCTTCGATGTCCCTGGTCCCTGGAACCAGCTGGACGAACTCCGACTCCAGTGCCGCCCGGGCGTCCTCAAACTTGATGGGAAGAGCCGCTTTTTCTTCGCCGCACAGCGTAATTTTTGCCTGGTTGGTGGCGTGCAACAAGCAGCCGCCAAGGTGGCCAAGGGGAGTATATTACGTAGATAAAGGCGTAACCATGGGGCTATTCAGTCAGTGACTTAATAGTCTACTGGTTACGCCTCTTTCTTATAATAGGATCGGTTTCGTTCGCTGGAGAATGGTGTGTGTGTGCTGGGTCGCCAGCAAAGGGCTCTCTACTGGTAGCTCGGGATCTCTTTGGATCGGCTTATGTGCGGGCGTGTTTCAAATGCCCACATCAGGGACAAACCTAACTGCTAAGCCCAGCCGCTATGTTATAACCCTTCCCCAAGCCTGCCCAAGCAAGAAGGGACGCACACCTTCCAGAACTTGCGATAACGGTTCGCAGCCGCCGATGGGGAGAACACCTCGGCCCGCAGGAACATGAGCAGAAATTCGTCCGTCTGGGAGGGAGCCCCGCTCCACGCCGGGTTAGCGGCGAGGTCCGCCTTCATCGCCGCCAAGCTCGCCGCCAGGAGGTCGTCTGTCTCCTCTGCCAGCAGCTGGGGAGGTCGGGACGGATTGGGTGGGGTAGTGGAATTGGTCGAAAGCTTGCGGCGGAGGGACGAGACGAGGCAGTGGGATTGGTCGAAAGCGTGTCTTCTACTTGAGAAATATACATAAAGCAGTGGTCCCGATAAAGTGGCACCCTGAATAATGAAATTCCCTCAATCGTGGCATCAAAATCTCTTGTCACACCCTCAATCCGATATAGTGGCATTGTACCACTATTGAGGACGGGGCCCTCAAAAGTGGCATTTTGGGCATCTCATCCCCCCAATAGTGGCAATTCAAAACGTCGGAGCCCCCGTGTCTTTCACCGCAAGCTCTGTCTGAAGACGCAAGGACATTTTTATGGAAAAGGTTGGCAACACGTACGTACGTCCAAGAGGACACATTTTCTGACGACGAGCTAGGGCTAGACAACACCGAAGATTCTGAGAGTGAGGGGGGTGGAGGGATGAAGGCGCCGCCGTCGTTCGCGGAACTGTCGGGGCTTTTTGGTCCTCTAGAAGAGTACGTGGAGTCGAGTGACATTGGCGAAGCCGGGCATTTCCTCCGTAAGGCAAAGATAGCATTCTTCGCAACACATGCCGCTAGACCGGCACGGCAGTTGGACATCAGAGCGTTTGCCCACTCATAGTGTAGTGGCATTAGTCGGTTGAGGCCTACAGGTGCAAAGCATCGTGACGGTTGGGATTGATGCGCCGGAGTGGGGAGTGTTCGGCGTTTTCAACATGGTTGCTCCGGTTTGTTTCGCGTACAATGATGTTTTCAACATGTGTGTTATGTTTGTGTTGAACCCCATGGTGGATGGCCGGACAAAAAACATTAATGTTACTTTGTTTCTGCAGTCCGCAGCCTGCACACAAAGGAAGGTTGCGATCGCTGAAGGCCTCGTTGTCACAAGGACGATCAAGTGTCAATGGACACGTGATGGGCAGACACCTGAGTTTTCACGCAGATACTGACTGGTGCACACAACAACAAAAGAGGGACCCTAAGATACATACACAAAGTTATGGTATTTGGACTCTTGGACTAAGATACCATCTGGGCGGGTATATCTTTCAGGAACATCCCGACCACCTGCCCAGACTCCTAGTATTCCGACTTTAGGCAGTTGCGTAGCGGTACAATGGTCACTAGCAGTAGCAAGCGATGTGCAAGCGTTCCACCTTGCTCAGTGTTGCCTGGTGTTCCCTGGTGTTGCCTGGGAGTGAGCGATAGCGAGCGACTGGGAGTGAAAGGAAGGATAAGGAAGGAAACAGACTGAAGAAGGGTAGCGGCTCCAACCTGCACACAGTGGTGGGACTATTGTAGCTCCACACTGAACCCGCGTCAGAGATCGACACATCTCGTCACACTTGGCGTCGTCGGCAGGACTCGAACCTGCGCGTGAAATCACAATGGGTTTCCAATCCATTTTCGTCGCAGGATGCGCAGAGCTTGAACCGGGCGACATTTTAGTACAGCAGCCGCACCGCGGCGGCCGATGCTTGTAGGTCGCGGAGTTTTTGTGACTTCTTCTTCGCCTCAGAAGCTTTTTGCTCCCGTTCTTTCCGCAGGAGTTCTTGGGCGTGCTTTGTCGCTGCGGCCTCTTTATCGATGGCGATACTGGCAGCGGCGGAGGCGTTGCTGACGGCACGCTGTTGTTGTGCGAGGCTGAGTTGGTCCCAGTCGGCTGCAGCGTAGAGTGTCTGGAAGATCGGCGGGCACGCTGAATACGGGAGCTTGCTGGGCTCCGGTTTGGCGTCGGTGTTGTTGGTAGACATATTGACGGGCTGAGGCTGAGAAGCCTGAGTAGCGACAATGTCCATGGGGGCAGGGAGTGACGGGGAAGAATTGGTCAAGGTGTCTGTCGCATTGTCGTGTATTGACGGCTGTGCGGTGTCGGAGGATGGCAAGAGTTGCCACCAGAGTTGCCCGTCACTCCCTGCCCCCATGGACATTGTCGCTACTCAGGCTTCTCAGCCTCAGCCCGTCAATATGTCTACCAACAACTCTGACGCCAAACCGGAGCCCAGCAAGCTCCCGTATTCCGCGTGCCCGCCGATCTTCCAGACACTCTACGCTGCAGCCGACTGGGACCAACTCACCCTAGAACAATAACAGCGGGCCGTCACTAAAGCCTCCGCCGTTGCCAGTATCGCCATCGACGAAGAGGCCGCCGCAACCAAGCACGCACAGGAGCTACTGCAGCAAGAACGGGAGCAAAAAGCTTCTGCGGCCCAGAAGAAGTCCCAACAACTCCGCGATCAACAAGCATCGGCCGCCGCTCGTCTCGCACACCTCCAAAAGGAGACCGCTGCCCTCCAACGCCAGCAGTGCGAGCACCAACAGGCCCTCGACCTGGCGGAATCAGAGGAATCAGCCGCTATCTCCGAGAAGGACAACCCCTCTGACGACTTCCACACACCACAGAGAGCCCACAACCGTCGCCACAAGGGCGGCCACACCGCCGCCGCTCCGCCCTCCCCGCCTTCGCCCTCCGGCCCGTCGTCGCCTCACACCACCTTCAAGGTCACCGGCGTCAAGCCTATATACGCCGCCGCCACCCGCCGTGGGCTCGAAGACTCCACGGCATGGTACCACTCAACACCACTGGTCGTAGTCGCCCGCACGTACCAGAGTGTTTTCAGCAACCCACGCCGAGACCGAGTGCACACCGCCGCTCGCGACCTCCTCGCCACCGAAACACACGGGGGAGACCGCAGACTGCTCCCACGTCTGGTCCTATGTCGATCGCAACAAGGACAACGGTATCTCCACCACCGCCACCGTCGCGGTCGCCAACGCCCTCACCGTCTTCGTCGACACTGCAGCCGCCGCACACCGCAATCGCTCCGACACGACTATCGACTACTCTCGCAAGCTGGCCCCACAGCCGTTTCGAGGCCAGTATCCGACACTTAAGGGCAACAAAGGCCGTCACTCCTTCAGCTCAGGTGGCAACCGTACGCCACGCGGTAAGCAGGGGTCAACAACCAAACACCGCGGACGCAACTGGGCGTCAGATATCTCTGACAACAGCGGAGACCGTGGCTCCAAACGGAACCACGGGTCGGACCACCAACCCTCACCACGCTCCCACGGGCACGAAGAAGAAAAGGGTGGCAGCAAGGAACCACCACGACACCAGACACCCCCTGAGGACGACCGTCACCACGAGCCGCACCGTCTGGAGCGAGAACCCTCCTCCTCCAGGGCACTCGTCCCTCACGAGTACCAGGGCCATCTATACAACAAGGGAGATTTCGACTTCGACACACCCGTCTCCAGCGACAACGACAATACAGGGCAAGTGATTCCTCCTCTAGCTGCTGTAGCACAATCCAATAGTGCTCTGTTGCACCACAACGGCTTGCTCATCTCCTCTTCGACAACTGTACAACGCCAAAATGCCGTCGACGAACAAGCCGCCAATATAGAGCAAACGCGAATCCGATCAATCGCCGCTGAGTACACCACTATCGACCTCAAACACGTCGAAAAGATTAGGTCGCAGCTTCCGTTAGCTACAGGCCGTGCTGGCACCAACGCGTTAGGGCAACTCTTGGAGTCCACCAAAAGAGCAATGCACGACATCCTGCTACTACAGGCTGACCCCCTCGTCAACTTCGACAATTCCGACACTTGGGTACCGGGCTGGCAACGCCCCATCCAGGGGGCACTCACCAACGTCATTTCGTCAACTTCCCCCCAATCCGCTGATCTCTACTCGGTCATCAACGGATCCGTTGCACACGTAGAGACTAAACAAGGGATGAGTGGAGGTGAAGCCTTCAAGCTCCTCCTACGACTCATGGCAGGGCAATTTGACGAACAAGACCGCGGCGCCACCTTCTCGCAGTTGAATGACTACAAATTGCCCAACGGCACTACGTTTGCCAAGTTCTTGCAGCAGTACCGGGTAGCTGTATCCAACGTCGCCAACTACTCCAGTTTGCTGGCACCAGATGCACGCTGGGTAATAGAAGTTACGCGGAATAGGATCAACGATCAATTTCCGAGTATGATGACTAGCTGCTTTCCGGGTAGCTTGGCGAATGCTGTTTCGCCCTATGCGATCTAAATGACATGTGGGTGGCATTCCACAATTTTCGTCAAACAAGACTGCAGCTGTAAACGGCCCAGGCCATGGTGCTGTGTCTGCTGCTTTTGGGAATCTTTCACTGCTGTCTACTCCATCACAAGGGCACAGGTCGAGCAACCGCTCCTCCTCGTCACAACACTCGTATGCCTCAGGCTCATCACGCCACCCAATTGTCATGAACGTTCGATCCAACTTGCACTCGGATGCTCTTGATCAACACTACACTGCGCAGCCTTTAGCTAGCGATGACCACTGGTACACGGTCTTCCAGGTTTCTGAGAGTCTCACATCCAGGAAACTGCCATCACTTTGGACATCACTTTGGACACCACTAGTATCACGACACGAACGCGAACAAGCCTTCCGCGACAATCAAGGGCTTTGCCTCAACTGCGATTCATCGGCACACTCCATGCGCGATTGTGATCAGCCTTTCACCAACCGTTCAGGCATTCTCAACGAAGGTCTACGCCACCTCAACGACAGGTGTACCGCCGTTGCAGAGTCATCCGCGTCGGTGTCTGTTGCCGGTGGCGTTGGAAGACTGATTGCCGTGAAAGCGTGCGTCTTGAGAATCGACGGTATGGACGGATTGTGCCGAGGCAGCGGATTGGGCCGGTTGATAAACGGCGAGAGAGCCCTGTTGTTGGCCGTGATGGGCATTGGCGTTGTTGTTGCCGCTGGAGTGGTTGTGGTTTCCATTGCCGTAGTTGTTGTTGTTTCCATTGCCGTAGTTGTTGTTGTTACCATTGCCGTAGTTGTTGTGTAGCTGTTGTAGCCGCGATTGTTGTTGCGCCGGTTGTTGGTGCGACTGTTCGAGTTTTGGCGGTTGGACTGTCTGTTGGGGCCACGGTTCGT